CGCATAAATTTTATAATTTACAAATGTTTTTCAATTTTATTATAATGTTTGCCTTTAAATTTATAATAGATACGAGTTATATATTGCACCATAAAAATTAACAAAAAATGGGAAAATTTTATATAGATTCTTTCCAAGAAATTTAAAAAAAATGTAAATACAAGATTTTTCTATAAAAATTGTAAAAAAATGTAAATTTTTTAGATATTATTATAAATAACATTTTATTATATACAATATTATATTACATTTACTACCCATATTTATAATATTATGCATGATTTACAAAATGACATTATACAGTATGTATTACAGTTCTAACGTTAATTAAATACATTTTTTAATGATTTCATTTATTGATTTTTATTTTTAAAAAAATGCGTTTTTAGAGGGAAGCTGGGGGAGACGAGATAGACACCCAAATTTAATGTGAGCACTCCTAAATCGAATAAACTCAGTCCCCTCTAACTCTCATAGTCCCTCTTTATGATTTGACTAATCACATAGACTAGCCCTTTTTGAATTTCCATTTTAATCGGTGCCACAAGCAAGGCGCTCTTAATGCCCGTTCAAACGGGAATATGCTAATCCATCTAGGAAAAAATAACTGATAATTAAAAATTGGTATAAAAAATTTAACAATTAATTCAATTTTAAGAAACTTTATATATAATCAAGTTTACGCAGATATCGAATTCTACAGGAAATGTATTTCAGATGTCCAGGGAACCTTATATAAATTTCAGATAATTCATATATTTTTGGACTACTCTTTAATTTATATAAAATTATATTTATACGATTTTTTCATATTTTTAAAAAAATACACAAAATATTTATGGCAAAATTTTTCGAAAACCTACACATTCTGAAACATATCCAGTAAGATAAGATTTTATAGAAATCGCCCTCTTAGAGAATTTAAATTTGGGAGATTCCGATTCCTCAGATGATGATTCTGGATGACTCATTATGCCCGCATACTTGAGTTACCAATGCATTCACAGTTAGCGCGAATTCGCAGCCAAGTATACAAAAAAAAAGATTATATTTATATAATATTTTGTATACGCCGCAAACGTGCTAACTGTAAATGCAGGGTTACTGAGACATATAAAATTCTTATATAGAATAAATAGGATATTATGTATTATTTTAGATAAAATGCCATTTTTAAAACATTTCTAAGTTTCCATATATTTTAACCGATGAATGACTAGTTATTTCATCAAAATAATTAGCATCATTTATATTTATTATATATTGAGTAAAAAAAATATTATAGCATTAATATTTTCGATAATGACAATTAAAATTTTTTTTAAAAAATATCAGAAATACATTTCTAAATCAATTTCATTCGATAGCCCAAAAAATTAAAAATTACCACTTAATAATTTTATATAAATATTAGTTGTCATAAAAAAAATTTTAGGTTAGGGTACCTTTTCAGGGGCAATTATTTTTGTTATTTTTTTATGTTATTTTTTGTTATTTTTTTATGCGATTTTTTGTTATTTTTTTATGCGATTTTTTTTTATGCGATTTTTTTTTATGTAATTTTTTTATGAAAGCTATTGTTTTTATGTTATTTTTTTATGATTGGTTCATTTTCTTATTGGTTAATTTTTTATTTAAGATATTTTAAAATAATTTTTTCTAAAATTTAAAATTCGTACAATTATTTAAAGGAAGTGATGGGGGCAAATAAGGGGGAAGGTTAGGGGTAAGATTTTTGGTAGACGAAACTTTACATTTTTAATTTTTTTTTTGGTATAAATCTTTTTTTGGTTCCCTTTTTTTTAGTTCCAATATATATTATATAATTCCTTCCATTTTTTTTTAAATGAATATTTTTTTATACCGCCTGGAATACAACATACCTGTTGCAATTCCGTAATGCGGGTTGAAAAAAACAACAAGAGTTTACGATATCGATGCAGTAGGTGTCGTAGATCGTATTCAATATGGAAAGGTAATATTAATATATATATATATCATAAATGACGAATTTTTAGATTCCATTTTTGAAGGAATTCATGATGTTGGGAGATTTTTAAGACTAGTGTACTTGTACATAAGTACCAATTCTTTAAAAAATATTAAACAAAATTATTTTTAGGCCGTTATAAAATTTTAGCTTCGAAAGAGTTAGATTATGATAAGAAGGCAATTTCAAGATGGTAATCTAAAGTATAATATGGTTTTTTACTTCACTTATATAGGTTTAAAAAATTTCGAAAGGTATGTGGATTCCATATAGCCTCGAATCATTCAAAGATCGGGGGGCCTGGCCACGTTATTGAAATTGATGAAACTCATGTATGGAAGCGTAAATATAACCGTGGTCGGCATTTGACTTTCGAGGCTATATGGATTATTGGTGGTATATGTCGGGAAACAAATGAGATATTTTTAAGTGCCACCACAACAAGAGATCAAGATACCACCTATCGTGTGGTTAAAAATAATGTTATGCAAGATTCCACGATAATGACTGACTCGTGGTTAGGGTATGTGAATTTATTTTTTCAATAAAGCAAAAGTAGTGATAAATGTAAATATATTTATCTTAGATATAATCGGCTAGAAAGTTCAAACTATTTCCACTATCAGATCAACCATTCGCAAAATTTTGTTGATCCAAATGACAGATCGATCCACACTCAAAAAGTCGAGAGGCTGTGGCGGGATCTAAAGGCAAATTATAAAAGACATGGGGATCGGGATAATATTCATGAATATCTTCTTGAATATAGATATTTTCGAAAATATAGATTATTAAATCGTTTTGATGTTTTTATTCATTTTATTAATGATTGTATAAATTTTAATAGTATATTTCAATTTAATGAATAAATTATTTCGATTGTTATGCTTAAATTTTATTTATTTTTGGAATCTTCCTTTAATTATAGTGTTATCACTAAAAAAAATTAAATTCTTAATACAAATTTTAGAAAAAATTATTCATATTAAGTTTGTATAGAAGGAATCATAAGTTTGTATAGAAGGAATCATATTAAGTTTATATAGAAGGAATCATATTAAGTTTGTATAGAAAGAATCAACCAAATAAATTTTAAATAGCGAAGTTTCATCTATCAAAAATTTAATCCCAAACCTACCCGCATTGTACATAATCTAATAATTTTACCCCTTAACCCTAGCCTTCCCCCTTATTTGCCCCCATCACTTCCTTTAAATAATTGTACGAATTTTAAATTTTAGAAAAAATTATTTTAAAATATCTTAAATAAAAAAAGATATATTAATTTAAAAATATCTTAAATAAAAAATTAACCAATAAGAAAATGAACCAATCATAAAAAAATAACATAAAAACAATAGTTTTCATAAAAAAATTACATAAAAAAAATCGCATAAAAAAATAACAAAAAATCGCATAAAAAAATAACAAAAAATCGCATAAAAAAATAACAAAAAATAACATTAAAAAATAACAAAAATAATTGCCCCTTTTATTAGTGTTGTAAACGAACGCGTTCAAAAATGAACGAGTTCGTGAAAAATGAACGAGTTCGTGAAAAATGAACGAGTTCGTGAAAAATGAACGAGTTCGTGAACGAAGTTCGTTTTTTTGAAAAAAATGATGAACGGCGTTCCTTTTATTTTTGACGAACTTTGAACGTGAACGTGTTCCTTTTTTATGACGAACGCGTTCGAATTTAACGTTCGTTCAATTTTAAAAATATTTTTATTTATTTGAAAAATTTAATATTTCCGAATTTTTTTAAAAAATGTATTATTTATATTTTTTTAATCGGCTGTGTACTTCCTTTTCACATTATTTTTTTAACACAGTTTATTAATTTGAATATTATTGTTTATATTTTAATTTTAATAGATTAGCATAAGCATGGATATTATTATTTAATCCTCATCATCTGATTCTGAAAATTCTAAATCAGATGAATTATCATTACTATGGCCAAATATGATAAATGTTTTAAATTAACATCCTATATTGAAGGAACTAATCCAATGCTTACCAAGTGTAAAATGTGGCCAAAAAGTATTATATTGTCAAAATCTTCAGATTCCAATTTAAAACGACATTTGATTTTAATAAATTATTTGATTTTATATGATATAACTAAGTTAAATTATTAAATTTGAAGAAATTATGCATTTGAGATATTTGACCCCAACAATAACGATAGTTATTATAAAATTAAAAAAATTAGTGGCCTCAAATATGGTCAACCATTGATAGACGCCATATTAAATGGGATTAATAAAAGGTAAAAGGTATTATACCTATTACTCTCAATTAATTACATATATTTTATTTGTTTAAAAAGATTTGAACATATATATAAGGATCAATATGTTCTTTCTGCAATTATACATCCAGCATTCAAACTTCAATGGCCATGGATAAAACTTCCACAGAACGAACCTATTAGAAATAAACTTATGGCGTCATTGAAAAAAATGCAATGAAAACCCTGGAAAACTGTTAATTTCGAGATATCCTTTTTTTTGTCAAGAGTAGAGAATGAATTGGAAGAGGATAACTCTCAATTTTTTGCAAATAACAAAACAATATGTTTTTAATTAATTCTCCCTTTAAAAGAGCTGTTTATTAAGTATAATACCGCAATCCCCTCATCTGCCCCTGTAGAGCGCGTTTTTAGTATAGCTAATGCCGTATTAACTGCCAAGTGTTCCTGTCTATCAGATAAATATTTTGAAAACAATTGTTATTAAAATTTAATAAGAAAAATTTTTTATAAATAAAAATATCTTTTTATTCGTTATATATTTTTTTTTTGTTTATTACTTATTTTTTTTATTCCTGATATATATATATGTAATAAAAATTTGCAATTTTATAATTATATAAAAATGAACATTGAAAAGTTATTATATAAATAAATTATTCATTACGCGATTAATATTATATAAAAAATATTCTAATCATCATGTGAGATGAATCTGATGTAACTGGCCCTGTGAATTGCTATTGCGAGTCTTTATCTTAAGAAGAAGCCTTCACGAGGTTCATCTGTTAGTTTGCGGATTAGCGATCCAAGTTCCTTGAAGAAAGAAAGAGCACGATTCCCAAAGGTAGTCAAGGTAGTGGAAATGATGGGAATGAATAAGTGATCTTGGGATATCTCTGAATATTTTGCCAATTTTAGAAGCTCCTTGTTCTCCAGAATGTTAAGGGATTGATTGGAAGGAGCCAATGGATCAATACAAGAGTAATCCCAGACCAAGAATTGACCTCGCTTACAGGGAATTTGAGAGATCCCGTCAGGGCGTTTCCCATCAGATCTGAAAAGACCAGAGTGTTCGAGAATAGAAGGAATTTGAGCGGATCTCAGAGCTCTAAGAATTATAGAATTGTAAATGTTATGTCTAACGATGCGGCCTTTACATGAACGACAATGTAGACTATGCCTTCCATTACTCAAAACAGTAGAACTGCAGCCGGCACAGATGTGGGGTTGGGTTACTAAGCAATTTAAACGGATGCCTATAGCATGAGTTAGCTCATTTTGGGTCAATTGTAATTGTAAGTTCGCTGATGGAATGGCTTCGAGAAACTCATGTCCAGAACCATTAAGCAGAGAGGAGAATAAGGGACGGTCCAATGATTGCATACTGGAAAGGAGAGATTCGAAGCAGCTTGCAATAATGGGCTTATCCCATTCCTTCTGCGTGTTCGTTTCTAGAATTGGGTGGTCGGCAATGAATCGAGATTTCCATTCAATGATGGCACTATCAAAGGAAGGGTCAGAATTTAAGGAATTAGGATTGTCTAAATTTTTTGTTAAAAGACAGCTCGATATAAAGGCAGTTAAGGCAAGATCGGAAGGGGATCTGATGCCTAGTCCTCCCATCTTGGTGGGAAGGGTGGCTTGTATCCACGCTAAATCATGGAATTTTAGATTAAGGATACTTTCAATTAGGACTTTAATCCCATTTTCATAAATGCCTAAGGAAATGGGAAATTTAAAAATAGGGGTAGAGCGGAGTGCGTAAAGAATTTTTGGGATATTGAAGAAATTTTTCAGGAGAAAAAAGGCTTTATGAGAGGGGAGAAGGGAAAATAGGTCAGCCAACTCATTAAGGGTTTTGAGTGTAGATTGTAGGAAGGATGATATGGCTGTGTGTCCACCAACGGGAGCACCTATGTGAGATAATTCCTCAAGAGTAATCTGTTTGAAATTATGAAAATTGTTTTCAGATGAATTAATTGAAATGAATTCTGATTTTTCATGGTTGATTGATAGACCAATGGATAGCCCTGCATCCTTGATTATCATTACAGCTTTATTGATTTCGTCGTTTGGACCACAAAGGATTCCATCATCTATGTACCATGCATGCAATGATAATGAACATGCCTCGTTAATAGATTTAACAATTTCATTGATCCCTAAACAGAAAAATAAAGAACCTAGAGGATCTCCCTGTTGTATGCCCTCAATCGAAGGAATTTTATAGGTATCAAATTGGAGAGTGGAAGGCTGTTGATAGCATGAATAAAAGAATTTAGTGTAACCAGGAAAGAGAATACTCGATGAGCACAGAAAGGAATTCCGAGAAAGAGTGTTATAAGCATTGTTGAAGTCGATTTTGACTAAAGATTCGTTGGTTGGCTGGGTTTCTAAGTGTATTCTCCTTAGATGAACAACAGCTTCACAGCCGCCAGGTATAGCAACATCAAGTTGAAAAGGACTTAGTATATTTGAAGCTTCATGCTTTATTCGAGAGGAAATCATTTTAGCTACTAAACGACGAAAGGTCGAGCCAATTGCAATCGGTCTTAAATCATTATTGGGTTTTTGAAGGGCTATTAGCCTGGCACCGAAAAAAATAGGGGAAACAAAGGTTGGCACATCACCTTTTAAGATTTTGTTGCAAAAGTTTGTAATTTTGGAAAGAATGGAAGTTTGAGAACATATTGAGGGGGAAGTAATGTCCTGGAGAAATATAGGACGGATTCCATCAAGGCCTTGTGCTGAATCTCGATGAAAGGAAAGGATAGCTTTCCTCACTTCATCAGTGGTAAATTGTGATGCGCATGTAGAGTGAGGCTGTAGAGATATAGGGGTTATAGTTGTAGAAGGGTGTTTTTTGCAGAGCTTCAAGTATGTGTCGTTTGAAGGTTCGGCGAGGGAGTCTTGAGTAGAAACCAATCTAAGTGCACCTTTGATGTTAAGATTGTCAATTTTTTTAGTGATTAAATTAACCTTCATCTCGATAGCAGAGGGTTTCATTTTATTTTTGACAACAGATGTCTTCCAGTGTTCGTATAGATGAGGGACAACTATTGAAGCAGATCCTTGATTTGCTGGGTTAGGGATTTATGTGAAGTTTAGTCTGGCACCTTGAAAGTATTATAGCCATAGAAAAGAAATTAAAGCCATTCGTTTTCATTACTAAAGTTTAGCAATAGGGATGATAGACAGTCTGTAAAGGATTTGGCCACCGTCAATCTTGCACCTTTGGGGATCCTTGAAATAATGTTAGGTTTTGGATGATCAAGAACGCGTTCGATTTTTTTAGAAATGTTTACAGCACGAAAATTTATAAAATAACATTAGAATTATATCAGAAAAATAATAAATAATTTTTTAAAAAAACTATAATATTACGAAAACTAGAAATAAATATTTTCTATTATGGGGTTAAAAAAGTGTGGATCTGCTTATTTCTAGTAATATTTTCTGTCAGGTTTTCTTGGGTTTACCGGAATGATTGTTAATTTTTTTATCTATTATCTTAAAAAACGAGTTGCTTCTTCTCCGAAGTTTTCTAATATGATAGTAACGGTAAAAATTGCATGTTAAATTAGCGTATATATCCCCTAAGAGGTCTAGACAGATACGTATTCATTAGATTTGACAAATGCGTCCAATACACGTATAATTTCAATATCAAAGGCTGTCATTTGACTCAAGGCTTGCGCGTTATAGTATCAGGTCTTTTATTATCTGGCTTGTTACCCTACTGGTTCTAAAGTACTGAGAATGTTAGAATAAGAAAATCCCTTATGTATAATTAAGAAGATTTATGATAGCTAAGTGCGTGTCTACCTTTTAAATATTTACATTGTATAATGTAATTAAATGGCCTTAAATATTTTGATGCTAATTATCAATGGATTTGTTATTTATAGTACTGTAAAGTAATATCAAAAAAAGTAACGAAGTTACTAAAGGCTTTACCTTAAGAAAAGGAACGCCATTTATTACCTTCTTCTAGAGGTAACTGTTGTATATGCAAATTCGAATGTTAATTGTGAAAAGTGATTATTCATAAATAAATGGTAGACGAAGATAATATTTTTGGGGTAATTTGTCTATGTAAATAATCTTAAATTGAACATAATATTTTTCTATAAATTTTATATATATATTAAAATATGCAAATTTTATATATTTAATTCTTCGAAAATTGTTTAATTTATATATATATATATATATATACATTGTTAATTCAAAAAAGTTCAGTTTTGGATAATTTGGATTCTTCGAAAATTATTTTATTATTTATTGACCGATGATGTTTTGATTATTAATTTACAGACGATATTTTGATTATTATTTTGGATTTGATAGAAGTTGAATAAAGAGTAAAAGTAGTGAATTAGTATTAGAAATTATTAATAATTATATATTTATTTATTTATTATTAGTTCCATAGATATTCAGTCTCTCCCACTAGCCTCAGCAATAAATATCAATCCCATATTGGTACAGTGGTGCCTTACAGCGATTGATCCAGGCTTTAGAAGATCAAAAGTCAGTCTAATTATACATTGGAACAAGGTTAAAAAAAATAATAAAAAATATATATAAATTTTTGATAATTTCGGTTCTCTTATTGATGTTATATAAATTTTGGATCTTGGTATTGGTTTTATTCGTATGTTTATATTTATTTAATTGTTTAAGATTAGTTAAAATTATTTTAATCAAGTGGTTATTGAGTACACTTTAATGTATATTACGCAAATAAATTTATTAAGTTTAATACTTGAAAATATAAGTATAATTATATTTTTGGTGCTAATTTTAAGTTTCACGTTAGGTTTAATTATAGGAAGAAATACGACTTACGTTAAGATAGAGATTAAAGAGTTAGAAAATATTAAGAATATATTAAGAGAGGAAGATAAGAAAAGAAATATAAACAACTTCATACGAACGGATAATTACAGACAAATAATTTGCTATAGTTGTGGTCAGCCGGGCCACATGTCGCGCCAGTGTGAGATAACGAAGAATCTAAGATGCGCGAGGTGTGGCAAGAATGGCCATGTGGCTATAAGTTGCAGAGTAAACAATTCAATTGTAAGGTGCAATAATTGTGCCCAAGAAGGACACACACAAGAAAATTGCAATAAATGACTAAGAGAGAAATATTTTAATTTTAATGATAAATTTTGTAATGATAATAATTTTTCTAAGGTTGATAATTTTAATTCAGTTAAGAATAAATATTTTAATTTTAATGATAAATTTTGTAATGATAATAATTTTTCTAAGGTTGATAATTTTAATTCAGTTAAGAATAAATATTTTAATTTTAATGATAAATTTTGTAATGATAATAATTTTTCTAATGTTGATAGTTTTAATTCAGGTAAGAATAAATATTTTAATTTTAATGATAAATGTAATGATAATAATTTTTCTAAGGTTGATAATTCTAGTTCAGGTAAGAATAAATATTTTAATTATAATGATAAATTTGGTAATGATAATAATTTTTTTAACGTTGATAATTTAGTAGAAAATAAGAATAAAGATTTTAATTTTAATAATGATAATTTGGATAATGTTAATAATGCTATTGCAAGTAAGAATAATTATGGTAATAAGAACGAGAAATTTGGCGATGATAAAAAGTGCTTTAACGTTGATATTAATAGAAGTGATATAAAGATAAAAAGTAGAGATTTTGAAATATATAGAATTAAAAAGGCAACTAGGGTAGACGTACTAAAAATGGAATTAGAGGATTTTTTAATGAAAAATAGATGCCCTAGAGTAAAGATAAACATGGAGGAAGCAGAAATTTGTTTTTTATTAGATACAGGAGCAGAAATTAGTTTAATAAGTATAAAGGATTTTATGAGATTTTGGCCAGAGAAAGAGTTTGTTACTAAAAAGATAAGAGCCAAACAACTGGATGGTAGCATGGTGAAAATTTTAGGGTATTATAGGGTAAGGTTACCAAGAGTTAATAAAAGTATAAATTTGTGGATAACGACGTTGAAGATTGAACCGATTTTAGGATGGTATGATATAAGAACGTTAGGTCCAGTTTATAATTGGTGGAAATTTTTCGATACTATCCCTGTAAGTAATGATGAAAATAGTGAAAGGATAGATTTCGATAGATTTAAGTTACCTATTATAGAGGATAAACAAGAATTAGTTCTCGATAAACTTAGAAATCGAACACCAGAATTTTTGATTAAATATAGAAGCAACTTAGAAGAAAATAAGTAAAACAAGAGATACAAAGATAATAGAGGTAAATTCAGTCGAAATTAAACAAGAAATTAATAATATGGTAGATCAGAATGTTGTTGAAGATATGGTTGACAAAGAAATAAAGATTATTTTGAATAGGTATAATGAAGTCTTTAAAGAAGAATTAGGTACTCTGAAAAATTTTGAAGTAGATATACGATTAGAAGAAAATTATAGACCTAAGTTTTGCGGCATAAGAAGATTACCGTTTTCTTGGATAGAAGAGATAGATAAAGAATTAGATAAATGGTTAAGAGACGGAATAATAAAACCAATAGTGCATAGTGAATGGGCAACACCTTTAGTGCCCATAAGGAAACCAGATAACAGTTTAAGATTGTGTATAGACTATAGAGTAACAGTTAATAAGTGCGTAATAAATGAAAAGTATCCACTACCTAGAATAGAACAACTGCTAGCGAATTTAAGAGGAGACACCCTGTTTTCAAAGATTGATTTTTCGAATGCGTATTTGCAAATTAAGGTGAGTGAAAAGACAAGTAAGATACTAACGATTACAACTCATAGAGGTTTGTTTGCATTCTGTCGATTACCTTTTGGTTTGAAAATATCAGCGCCAATATTTCAAAGAACGATGACGGCGTTATTTCAAGGAATAAAAGGAATAATGTATTATTTAGATGATGTTTTGATATCTGGTAGAACAGAAGAAGAACACAATTCGAGATTAGTTAAAGTGTTAAATATTATAGTAGAAAATGGTTTAAAAGCTAATTTGAAGAAGAGCGTTTTTGGAGTAAAAGAAATAAAGTATTTAGGACATGTTATAAAGGGATATGAGATTACGCCAATTGGAAAGAATATAGATAAGATCATGAATATGAGAGCCCCGAATAATAAAGCGGAGGTACAAGCGTTTTTAGGAGCAACAAATTATTATCATCGGTTTGTTCAAAATTTTGCAGAAATTGCTACACCGTTGTATGATTTATTAAAGAAAAATAAAAAATTTGAATGGAGAGAAGCACAGGAGAAAAGTTTCGAAAAGTTGAAAATAAAGATGGTAGAGAAGCCTATTTTAAGTTGTTTTAATGAGAAATTAAATATTATTTTAGCAGTAGATGCTTCTAATGAAGGTATAGGAGGAGTTTTGTTGCAGATGATAGATAATGTGGAGAAACCTGTTTTATTTTTATCGAGACGATTTAATAGCACTGAGAAAAATTACTCAACGATAGAAAGAGAGGCTCTAGCAGTGAAATTCGGGCTTACGAAATGTAAGGAATATCTGATAGGAAAAAGGTTTTTATTGTATACGGACCATAAGCCGTTGGTAGATTTATTTAAAAAAGAGAATAAGGAACTTATGATTTCACCCAGGTTGCAAAAATGGCTAATTTTAGTTGGTAATTTCGATTTTGAAATAAAATTCAGAGAAGGTAAACAAAATTGCTTACCGGACATTTTATCAAGATTGTTTAATAAAGACATTGAAGACAAAGAACCAGTAATCAATAGTTTAGAATATATAGAAGAAGAAGAAAATGTAAATGGTAATATTATAAGAGCGGTGAGAATAGATACAAGAGAAAAACCTATAACATTTGATATAGTAGATAAGATATCCCAAAAAGATGAAGAATTAATAAGAATTAAAGCTTGTTTAAAAGGAGATATAGAATGTAAAAATGAAGATAAAGCGTTTAAAAAAGTTAAGAGTGAATTAAATATAGAAGACAATTGTTTATTGAGAGGATATAGATTAGTGATAC